CCTCCTAAATCCTCTAACCCCTCCTAAACCCCTCCTAAACCCCCTAAGCCCTGAGCCCTACTTACTTGCAGCCCTGCTTACCCGTGCCAATACCCAGGAACCTTGATGTGAAGCAGGGTTTGCATGACTGGTATTGGTGAGTGTATATCAGGTTGATTGTTAATATTGGTGAGTGTATATACTGGGTGTCCTTTTGCGGATACAAGGAATATATACCCTACGTCATGTAATGACGAGAGCCCGTCGGGCCACTTGCTTGGAGGTTCATGGTACTTACTAAGCAACTATAACTGTACTTATAACTGTAATTATAACCTCATGAAGGCACTTAAGGGGCTTAGAAGTGCGTTATAAGCACAGTTACAATTGAGTTACCCTAAACCCTATCCCTTAACCCTAAACCCCAAACCCTAACCCTTAAAACCGAACCGCCAAGGGGGGCTTCTTGAGAAGCTCGGTCGTTTGTCAGCTTTCCTTCACGAATCTCGACGCCAAGTCCATAGCTCCCATCCTGCGAACATGCATAAGCCATGCGAACATGCATAAGCCGGAAGCCGTAAGCCCTAAGCCCTAAGCCCTAAGCCCTAAGCCCTAAGCCCTAAGCCCTAAGCCCTAAGCCCTAATCCTAAACCCTAAACCCTAAACCCTAAACCCTAAACCCTAAACCCTAAGCCCTAAGCCCTAAGCCCTAAGCCCTAAGCCCTAAGCTCTAAGCCCTATGCCCTATGCACTATGCCCTAGACCCAAACACGAAGCTCTAGAACCCGAAGCCCCAAAATCCTGAGCCCCCGAAAGCTCGAGAGCTCCATACGGAACATTGAAACTTGAACCTTCCGTTAGGTTTAGGGTTTAGGGTTTAGGGTTTAGGGTTTAGGGTTTAGGGTTTAGGGTTTAGGGTTTAGGGTTTAGGGTTTAGGGTTTAGGGTTTAGGGTTTAGGGTTTATGGGTTTAGGGTTTAGGGTTTAGGGTTTAGGGTTTAGGGTTTAGGGTTTAGGGTTTAGGGTTTAGGGTTTAGGGTTTAGGGTTTAGGGTTTAGGGTTTAGGGTTTAGGGTTTAGGGTTTAGGGTTTAGGGTTTAGGGTTTAGGGTTTCACCGCAAGCCCAGGTACCAGTGGCGCCAGGGGCTCACTTCGAGAATGGGCCGTTTAGGGTTTAGGGTTTAGGGTTTAGGGTTTAGGGTTTAGGGTTTAGGGTTTAGGGTTTAGGGTTTAGGGTTTGGGGTTTAGGGTTTAGGGTTTAGGGTTTAGGGTGGTTAGGGTTTAGGGTTTTGGGTTTTCAGGGCTCAAATTGCGGTTCTTGAGTTCTTAAGCCACATCAGATCACAAGCCTGAATCCTGACTTTGAGGTTCAGGGCGTTGAATTGTGGGGCACTTTAGGGTTGAGGGATTATGTATCTGCTCAAGAGCCACCCACAAATACAAAGAATGATGTTCCCTATATTGCCCTTGCGAGCAAGAATCTTTTTGGGTGGTTCTTAAACACAGAGTAGTTCTCGGGGGTGTTGGGGGGATGTAAGGTGTTGGGTCCCACGTCTGTTTCGGTCATCAGGAAAGCAGGTGGCCTTGCCCCCAGGCTGTAAACGCTAAGCCCTAAACCCTAAACCCTAAACCCTAAGCCCTAAACCCTAAACCCTAAACCCCCTCGGAGGTGAAGTCACCACAGCCTCGCCAGTGCGGCGCAGGGAGTTGTCACTGGGGCCGAGATTACAAGGTTTTGATTTAGGGCTTGGGTTTAGGGTTTAGGGTTTAGGGTTTGGGGTTTAGGGTTTAGGGTTTAGGGTTTAGGGTTTCGGGTTTCGGGTTTCGGGTTGGGGTTTAGGGTTTAGGGTTTGGGGTTTAGGGTTTAGGGTTTGGGGCTTAGGGTTTAGGGTTTGGGGCTCACGCAAGAATGGGTTCGCTTGTCGTTTCTCGCCAGCCGGGTAGCCTAATATAGAGGGGTCGGAACGATTATTCATAATATTCCCTTAGATGGTCCCTTTGTAGCTATACTATAATCACCCCCCCCAAACCTTTTTCTAATTATTAAGGCGCCTGTGTTAGGTTAGGTAAGCAATTAAGCCCTACTAAAGCACGCCAAGCAGCCAAGCTCTGGCGTGGACGCCACACCCTAAACCTCTACCTTAACAACTTAGGATTTTAGGGTTTAGGGTTTAGGGTTTCGGGTTTAGGGCACGTAAGAATCCTATAAGGGGTTTTATGGTAAGAGCCTACAAAGTAGGCTTTGGGTTTGTTAAGGTAGATCCTAAGCCCGCAACCCCGACACAAAGCAACACATTTCAGTCTTGCAATCCGAGAGCCAGAATCATTCCTGCTCGGCTTGGGGTATTCGGGCTTATAGGGTTTAGAGTTTAAGGTTAGGGCTCAGGGCTTGGGGTTTAGGATTTAGGGTTTAAGGGTAACCCCACAGCCTAACTGGGGTGATCATCTTGCAGCAAATCTTGTCATGCAACAACCTTACGCCCTTTCGTGCCCGGGGAGGAGTTGTTGCGTGCGGTTGTTTTTGCGGTTGAGGGCAAAGTTTCGGGTCCAGGATGTTAGAAATTTGACCCTAAATACATATATATAAATATCTATATATATATATACACCCTAATCCCTATATATACCCTAATCCCGAAACCCTAAACCCTAAACCCTAAACCTAATCCCTTAACCCTAAACCCTAAACCCTATAAACCCTAAACCCCTAAACCCCTAAACCCTAAGATTTGAGATTCTTGGCTTGAGGTTCAGGGTCGAGGTGGGGGAATGTTTATGTTCTTCGGCTGAATGGGGGGGTTTAGGGTTTAGGGTTTGGGGTTTAGGGTTTAGGGTTTGCCTCAATCTATCAGCCTTGAGGGTCAGAATTCCAAGACGGGCTTTGGTTTTTTAGGTTGAGGGTTCTTATGAGGATCACTGGGGTTAAACGGTTAGGGTAGCGGGCAGAACGCCCCCAGCCGTTTTGTAATCATCTAAAGCCAGGTTCAATTCTAGACCCAGCAAGAATCCCCCCTTCCCCCCCCCCCCCCCGGTTCCCTGTACAACCTATTTCAAGTCAAAATCCCTGATGCTCCCTAAATCCTAACCCTAAACCCTAAACCCTAACCCTAAACCCTAAACCCTAAACCCTAAACCCTAAACCCCCAACCTCTTGGAATACCCAAGGCAGGAGTTGGCGAAAAGCCTCGAAGAGCACGAGCAGGAGCTCATGCTTGGGGTTTGTTGTTCGTTCATGGTCCAGCGTTCACCTCTCTACCTACAGTTTCATGGGTTTTCTGCCTACGAATTAAGGGTAAGTAACTACTAACTTGTAGATAAAGAGGCTCCCAGGTAGGGTTCAGGGTTGAGGGGTGCTCGGGGATAGAAACGGTCTGCATTCTTCAGTTGGCGTTAACCTGTATACGGGTGTAGGATATGTTCCGTTAAGGTATTTATTCAGTTGGTTTTTTGTGTCTTGAGGCATAGGCTTAGGGTAAGTTGCATCAGGGTGAAGGGGCTGTAACGTTATTTCTGTGGCAGGGCCCCGAAGGACACTGGAGTGAATGAAGGAATGAAGGAATGAAGGAATGAAGGCATGAAAGAATGAAGGAATGAAGGAATGAAGGAATGAAGGAATGAAGGAATGAAGGAATGAAGGAATGAAGGAATGAAGGAATGAAGGAATGAAGGAATGAAAGAATGAAGGAATGAAGGAATGAAGGAATGAAGGAATGAAGGAATGAAGGAATGAAGGAATGAAGGAATGAAGGAATGAAGGAATGAAGGAATGAAGGAATGAAGGAATGAAGGAATGAAGGAATGAAGGAATGAAGGAATGAAGGAATGAAGGAATGCAGGAATGAAGGAATGAATGGAATGAATGAAATGAAGGAATGAATGAATGAATGAAATGATTGAATGAGACTTCACCAGTCCTGCTGCAAGGAGCTTCGTGCTGAGTTGAAGCTGTCTTGACGGCAGGCTGGACAACTTGCCACGTGATTGGTCTTGCGTACCTTAAAACCCCAAACCGCCTAGGTAGAACCCTAAACCCTAAACCCTAAACCCTAAACCCTAAACCCTAAACCCTAAACCCTAAACCGTCTCATGTTTCCTGATGTGTTGCCGGGGAGCCTTTAAGTTCGCGGAGGGAAGGAGCTTGTCATAGGTACAGTACCTGTAGCCACACATGGGCTATATTGGGCTATGATACCCTATGCCCCCTTAAAAAGGGCCCTTTGTAGGGTTGTTTAGGGGATTATAAGGCCTTATTTGCCCATGCTGGTATGTTCTAAAGTTTCAAGGTCTAGGGCCCAATGACAGTTCGAGCATCTCCTAAGCTTCGTAGGGCTACGGTGTATCCTTTGAATCCCTCAAGCAGCACGCCCGTGCTGGTCAGGCTTTCGATGGTACACATCCCATCGCCGGCTGCTTGACGTGTTTTTTGGCATAATTTGCTAATGTCGTGCTGCACGAGCTTTCCCCACCAGTGGGGGCTTCCCCCAGCCCTAGAAAACCTATAGTACACCCCTAAAGCCTATAAAGCCCAAACCCTGAACCCTAGGCCCTAAAATGTCCCGAATATAGTAGGCCGAGCAGTGCAAGGGCCCCCCTCTCCTCGGCAAGTGTCCAACGCAGGGCTCCTCACATATTGTTTAGGGGTTTGGGTTTTACGGTTTACGGTTTAGGGATCTATAACGAAATGCAGAGGACGTGGATTCTGTAAGGTAATTCGGATCTTTAGTCGTATCCTTGTTTCACTTGTCTTCAGATCTGGCTCTGGCTCCCGGTTGCAACTGCCTAGCGTACACACCTGCTTCCTCTCCGTGGTTTGGGAGCCTGGCTGAGCGTTCCACCCAGACCCTTCCAAAAATAGAACCCCCAAATAGTACCCTATACTACTCTTGGGTCAGTCTTAGGAACCCTTCAGGGGATTTTTTTTTTTTGAATCCTTGCAGGGGTCTGGGCATGTACTGCAAGCAAATTCGCGGAAGGCCCCCGCCTCACAAGGGCAAGCGCCAGCGGACATGCTTCGAGACAAAATCGGTTTAGGGTTTAGGGTTTGGGGTTTGGGGTTTGGGGTTTGGGGTTTGGGGTTTGGGGTTGAGGGCTTGGGGTTTAGGGTTTAGGGTTTAGGGTTTAGGGTTTGGGGTTTGGGGTTTGTGTCCCAAGCCCTCTAGCACGAATCATGACCATTCTTCTCGCGCATACTTCTTACCGCGTCTCAGTATAGTGTGTTTTCAAAGTACCCAACCTTCAAGCAGGCTTTCCAAGTACGGTTCCTAGCCTTCTGAAGAGCACCTGAAGGGCTCTAACCCCAAACTCTAATTAAATGTAGAGGCGTCGTTGAAGCCGAAAAGTCCTGTTTTTGGGAACCCTAAATCCTAAGCCTACATCCTAAGCCTAAACCCTAATCCCCAAACCCGTCAGAGCGGACCATACTTTCGGGAGCTGGGCCATGTGATGTGTTCGGGTTGGGGGGAGCCTGGGTTTCGGGCTTCGGGTTTCGGGTTTAGGGTTCAGGGTTGTTTGGGTTTTATAGGGTTAGGGTTTGGGGCACAGGGTTGAGGGTTGAGGGTTTAGGGTGGATGCTTTCGTGGAACCGCAGCCTTTTGAAGATCCTGTCCGGGCAAGCATGCCTTTACTTACAGCTGCTGAGCCTTACGTTCCATGTATTGGGGTCCACACCCACACTACAAATCGATAAACCCTCACTAATATCAGTCTCAGGAACTTATATAAGCCCCAACAGCCTGTAAACCCTCAAGCCCTTAAGCCCCGAAACCCTTCAACCCCAAACCAAAGACTTCCATGTTCTCGCCAGAGCCCCAGCAACCCCTAAACCCTAAACCCTTAACCCTTAACCCTTAACCCTGTCAAGCCCGCTGCGTCTGCCGTGGCCACGAAGAGCACGGGTGCCATGGAACGGGCCTCAGGTTTCTGAGAGGGTTTAGGGTTTAGGGTGATTGGGTTTCGGGCCTAAACTCTACCTGCACCTAAGCCCCAAAAGCTCCTAAACTCCTAAACTCCTGAACTCCTAAACTCCTAAACTCCTAAACTCCTAAACTCCTAAACTCCTAAACTCCTAAACTCCTAAACTCCTAAACTCCTAAACTCCTAAACTCCTAAACTCCTAAACTCCTAAACTCCTAAACTCCTAAACTCCTAAACTCCTAAACTCCTAAACCCTAAACCCTCAACCCTCAACCCTAAACCCGTCTCCTTGAGGCGAAAGCGGAGGAGCTGAACACAGACTGGCAGCGCTCCGCTCCGTGGCTGCAGCAGGGGTTTAGGATTTAGGGTTCAGGGTTACCCTAAACCCTAAACCCTAAACCCTGAACCCTAAACCCTAAACCCTAAACCCTAAACCCTAAACCCTAAACCCTAAACCCTAATCGGCTCGGCGATCAGATTCGTCTGGGTTTCGTGCCCCATTCTGAGCAACCGCGACCCTTCAGCTCGGTTCCGAGGCTTCGCCGGTATCCCCCCCTAAACACTAAACACTAAACCCTAAACCCTAACCCCTAACCCCTAAACCCTAAACCCTAAACCCTAAACCCTAAACCCTAAACCCTAAACCCTAAACCCTGAACCCTGAACCCTGAACCCTGAACCCTAAACCCTAAACCCTAGACCCATTCTGCCGCGACCGCGCCTTCAACTAAACAGGCCTTCTAAGTCAGCGGCTAGTGCTGCAGCCATTAGGGATGCCCAGCCTCAAAAACACTCGAAGGGAAGTTACAGGGAGGGGCCCTTAGTGTGGTCACGAACCTCCTTGAAAGGGTTCTGATGTATGGGCCCTTAATTTGCATAGGGTATATGAGGGGGCATATAAGGGGCACCCTTTTAAGGGCCCATACTAGGGGACCTAACAACCCTAAGAGACATGGAGGAGTGCAGGACAGAATGCCTGCCCTTGAAGAGGGCGGTTCAGGAGTGCTAAATGTCCTGGGATTGTGTGGCAGGGTTTAGGGTTTAGGGTTAGGGTTTAGGGTTTAGGGTTTAGGGTTTAGGGTTTAGGGTTTAGGGTTTAGGGTTTAGGGTTTAGGGTTTAGGGTTTAGGGTTTAGGGTTTAGGGGTTAGGGGTTAGGGGTTAGGGGTTAGGGGTTAGGGGTTAGGGGTCTCTAGTTCCATAAGGGTTCGGTGTCTTGGGCTCCGGATGCTACCGAGGCCGGTGACTTCTCGTGCTCCGTTTGCCGGCGGAAGCGGCTGACAGCGCAGGATTTCTCCAAGAAGCAGGTGGCGCTTGGCTTGTGCTCGTGGGGTTGAGGAGTTGAGGGTTTTAGGGTTTAGGGTTTAGGGTCGTTTCCGTAGGACTTCAGCTTCAGAATGTTTCTTTTTTGTTAGAAGCCGGGTAGTGAGAATAGTTAGCATGATTCATCTGGGTTTTTATGGTGAGTGCAGAGGGTTGCTGGCACCACATGCACACCTGGAGTTGCCCGCGTGCTCACAAAGGGGGGTGAGGCATGCCCAAGAAGTTAGTAAGGCATGTTGCTTACACTCGGTCGCCCCAAGCCCGAAGCCCTACTCTACAGACACGAAGCCTCAACACACAACCCTGAAGCCTGAACCCTAAACCCTAAACCCTAAACCCTAAACCCTAAACCCTAAACCCTAAACCCTAAACCCTAAACCCTAAACCCTAAACCCTAAGCCTCCCACCTTGAACCCTGAACCCTTAACTGCAAAGCTTTCGCTGCTGGGCCCCGGAGAGCCCTGCTTGCCTGAAGGTGGAGAAGGCACTCGAGTCCTTGAAGTCGATTCCCGACAAGGTACAGGGTTTGGGGTTTAGGGTTTAGGGTTTAGGGTTTAGGGGTTGGGGCTTAGGGTTTAGGGTTTAAGGGTTGGGGCTTGGTTCAGGGTTTGGGGTTTAGGGTTTAGGGTTGCTTGGGTAGGTCTTGATGGTACAGGTCACCACCCGCTCAGGGGGTGGTTGCTGCATTCTTCCTCAGTCGGTGATTCAGCGTTGAAAGGTTTACTCGGGTTGGGCATCTTAGGGTTGATCAAGGAACTACAGGAGGGACCGTTGCAATATAAGGTATATATATATATATAAACAATAACTTAAACAAGTAAATACATAAATACACGTCTATATATATATATGCATATATGTAGGGGCTATATAGGGGAATAGGATTCAGGGTCCCTTCTAGGGCTCCCTCCTTTTGCCCCTTAGTGTAGACATGGTTCCAGGCAGGTGAGAAGAAGGTTGGAACCCTAAACCCTAAACCCTAAAACCCTAAACCCTAAACCCTAAAGGTAGAAGTTGCAGGCGTTGAGGTGTCAAGCCGCCACCGAGTCCCCCTGGTTCGCAAGACCGACTAAGGCAGTAGACGCGTCCAGACGCCCATCAGGATTCCCGAAAAAGAGGAGTGATCATCTTACGGGGGCTTTTGGGCGGGGTTCGAGGGTGAAACGCAAAGCCTCGCAGTTTTCCAGCTACCCTATTCAGAATCGTAAGCCCTAAGCCCTAAGCCCTAAACCCCAAACCCTAAACCCCAAACCCCGAACCCTAAACCCTAAACCCCAAACCCTAAACCCTAAACCCTCAAGCAAAGCCTGTGCCAGAATGTGCGCAGGACATCCGAGATGGGCCGGAGGTCAAGTCCGTCCTCTTCATCACCGCAGCCCTGGGCCGAGATGTGACCCCAAGGGCCCCCCAAGCCTGAATGGCCCAAGTACCACAGGGTTGGGGTTTAGGGTTTAGGGTTTAGGGTTTCGGGTTTAGGGTTTAGGGTTTAGGGTTTAGGGTTCAGGGTTTAGGGTTTAGAGTTTAGGGTTTAGGGTTTAGGGTTTAGGGCGGGAGGATTTAGGATTTGGGGTTTGGGGTTTAGGGCGGGAGGCTTTACTGTAGGGTTTGGGGTTTAGGGTTCTGGGTGGGCCCCAGAGGTATTTTTTATTTTTTGTGTTTTTGGTCGTTTGAAACTTGTGATCTGGTTTTGTGGCTTTTCATGTGTCGTCGTTACGTCGTTGTCGTTCGTGCGTAAAGTCGCCGCCATCAATGCCGACCAGAAGGCTGAGCCAGGCGCCCGGTCGGTTTAGGGTTAAAGTTTGGGTATTGTGAAGTCGAGGACTCCGGGTTGTGGGGAGGGGGGGCGGGTCTTGCTGCATGGCACATTTTTCTTTTCGTCTTGTGTTTGTGTTTATGTTTTTGTCTAGTGTTTGTGCTGTGTGTGTGTGTGTGTGTTCGTGTTTGTTTATAGTTGTTTGTGTTTGTGTTGTGTTCCTGTTTGTTTGGGGGTAGGGGGGGGGGGGGGCAGGGCGGACAATAAAAGGCACTAAGTAAAGAAGTTGAACAAGTGGTTAGTCGTTCTTTGGAGAGCCGAGTCGAGTCCTGTGAAAAATCGTTTTGGAGTAGGCATGAACAGTCGCACCCTGTGAACCACCCTAAGCCCAGTCGAAACCCCCTTTGCCTGATGTGCTTGGCACCTCCAAAGCCGATGAGTCGGAGCCCGGGCCCAAGTCGCCCAAGTCAGTGCCTTAGGGGGATCCGGGGGGACTTTATAATATCGTCCGATAGGACGTCGTCCGTTAGGACGCGAGCGGCAGCTCGAAAGGGGCCTTCCGGTAAGGAAGTCGTCCGCTAGGACGTCGTCCGTTCAGGACGTAGTAGCCTCAATGTCTTGGGTTCGGGGTATTTAAATAATATTAGTCGTCCAACAGGACGTCGTCCGCCAGGACGCGACTGCCCAGTCGAAGCTCCGCGTCCGCTAGGAAGTCGTCCGCCAGGACGTCGTCCGTTCAGGATGGGCAGTCGAGATCCCCCCTAGCTGGGCAATGCATTGCATGAACAATCGTCCCGGTCCCCCCAACCAAAGTAGTAATTAGTCGAACCCAAATTTCAGGCAAGTTGTCAGTCCCTGCAGTCAATTACAGTAGACGTAGTAGCATGTACTCGTCTTCAATACTAAGCAGTCGTGTATCAGGGGTCGGAGTCTCTGTAAGAGTGAGTTAAGTCGAAATACATCGCCTGTGGAAACCCCGAACCGCAACGCGGCTCCATCTTAAACTAGCCTAAAACTCTAAACTTAAACCCCCTTAATAACCCTAAACCTTAAACCCTAAACCACAAACCTTAAAGCTTGAAAGTCGAGCATCCTCAAACTAACCGTCCCTAAACTGTTCAAACCTGAGACATGAGCCCAAACCCTGCGCAGTGGTAATTCGCATGACAGCCTGAGTCGATCCCTAAGCTCGAAAACCCGGCCCCAAACATGGTGCATTTGGAAATCCCCACCAAAATACAAGCTTCAACCCGAATTTTCTCGAGGTCGTGAAGCACGTCGCTGGTTGCCGCTGGCTGTTAGTCGAGGAGCCATCGCCAGTTGTGCTTTAAAAGGGGTTGATTCATTTGTTAGACACAGCAGTGCCCCAGAACCTTTTATTAAGTAATAGTCGTCCCTTCCCCCAGTCCCAGGAAGAAAGGGTGTTCATTCGGGGCATGGGTTGGCAACCTCCGTCAGTGCAGTCGATGCTCAAGATGATCTGCCACAGTCACATAGTCGACACACAGTGTGTAGTTAAGCGCAAGAGGCTCAGACTCTTGCGCTTGCACTTCAGGCTAGGTCAGTCGCAGTGCGCTTCGACAATTCACATTCGCTGACGAATTGTGTGTGTGTGTGTGGCAGTTCTTTGTTTTGAGACCATGGCCGACGATGGTAGGTGGAACCAGTGGAACCAGTGGAGCCAGTGGCCCGATCGCAAGAAGGGCGAGAAGGGCGACTGGAACCGGCAGGTGAGGAAATATGGAGTTGCCTCCATGCATTAATTCTTTGTCCGAGTCCTGTCACAGTCAGTGACAGGTTTGTTAGCACTCGCCACACCAGCCTCACCTGCAGTCGTCGCTCAAGCTGAGCATGATTTTATTGTCAGTAGTGCCAGTGACATGTTTGTCAAGTTACCTACACCCTGCAGTTGCCGCTCAGGTCGACAAGGCCACGGAGATCTTCAGGAAGAGAAAGCAAGCCGAGATGGCCAAGGCTGCGGAACGCAAGGCGGCCGAACGTGGCAAGTCGGCTCCTTCAAGCCAGTCAGCCCCGCCGACGGCGGCTCCACCCAGCCAGTGGGCTCCACCACCCCAGTCGGCCCCAGCCAGGCCCCCCTCAGCGGCTCCTGTCCAGCAGTCGGCGCCGCCGCCCAGCCGCGTCCCCAATTGCCCTGTAGAAGAGCCGCCGCCGCGGGCGGCCCCAGTCACGCCCTTCCCCGCCGTCAGCTCAGGCCGCCCGGTGCAGTCGCGGCCCGCCTCAGCATCCCAGTCTTCTTGGTGGCTTCTAGCATCTGTCTTTGTTTACTTGCCCGCCAGTCGCATGGTTCAAGTATTATAATTTCATACGGTTACTTACGAGGCACTTTTGGCCGTGATTGTCGTTGTTCCGCGAGGCAGCAGCAAGACGATCGAGCACCCGGGATGCCAGCGGCGTCAATCGTTGGGCCAGTGTTCCTTGTCGTTGGTTTACCTGGTGGGGACGTACTTCTAGTCAGTGATTGCCGTGCTGAGTCAGACAACTGCGACGAAGACAAGATTTTTCCACTCAGGTCGTCCACATCGTCGCAGTCTGGGGCAGGCTTGGAGACGGCAGTGGCTTGGACAGCAGCAAGTCAGTCCAGTCTGATGACAAATTAATTGAATATAATATGTAAATTATTAAATAACAATTCAAGCAAAACCGGGTCGCAGCCATTCAGGTCGCTGGACTGGTTAGTTTCGCTCAGAAGATGATGACCCTTGGCCGTTGTTGGTTCAGGCTGATCCAGTCGTTGGCCAGGGCCGGCGTGTTGTTGTAAGTGGTCCCATTGTCAAGTCGTCAGTGAGAGCGAAGTGCCTGCAAGGGTCGACTCGATGGATCAGAGCAAGACGAACGAAAACCTGCGGGTGGAGGCCTGGAGGCGTTCTAAGGCCGCCGAGGCGAAGATCGTCGAGGCGCTTGAGTCTCTGGGGTTGAGAAGGAGCGTCCGTAGGGGCCACTGCAGAAAGTGGGTCATTGTTGACGCCCGCAGGCCGCGAAGAAGGAGACGCTGGCCGAGGCGAAGATGGTCCAGGCCCAGGCCATGCGTGACGCCGCGAGAGAATCTTGTCGAGGCAGCCTCAGTAATGTCTTTTTTGCGAACGGCCTTAGACTAGATTAAATAACGCCACGGCAAGTTAGTCATGAGTCGACTTTGTGCTGGCGCTGCCCTGGCAGTGAGGTCGCAGCCGCACAGTCGGCATCCACGACGTCGCCGCCCACACAGAAGGCCAAACAGGCGGCCGAGGCGGCGGCTCGTCGGCTTCTGGAGATCTCGCAGAGCGATCCGGAGTCGTCCTCGAGCCCCAAGTCGAGGAAGGCCACGGCCTCGAAGTCGAGCAAGGCTCCGGCCAAGTTGCGCAAGCCCGCAAAGTCAAAGAAGGCCGACAAGAAGAAGGAGAAGGACAAGGAGAAGGAGAAGAAGTCGGCGAAGAAGAAAAAGGAGAAGCGAGCGACGACTTCCAGTGAGTCGTGAGACTTTTGCTTGGGCCGTTAGTCGTCCAGCCTGTTTAGATTAAGACGCAAGTCCTAAGTCAACATGAATTGTACTCACAGCCAAGACTGACGGGCCCAAGCAGTTGCCTGCCTTGTGGACGGCTTCCGCTCGTCGAAGTCGGCATTCTGCAGCCCAGTCAAAGTCGATCTGCGCCTTTTAGAGAGAAAAGAGCAGACGCTGATGGGGGGGGGGGGGTGTCTTGTTCGTAGTTGTTTTAAACAGCCTCAGGGAGAACCCCGTGCCGACAGGCATCCCCAAACCCCCATGAAATAGAACAGTGTCGACCCATTATAGCATCATGTAAATCTGTGTTCTCGTTCTTCCGTGCCAGTAGAAACCCCAAATCTCTACTTCGCTGCAGGAGTCCGGGCGACCGCGTGCCGGCAGCTTGGAGTGTGTTCTTTCACGTCTGGATGACAAGGTCTTGGTCAATTAATTTCGCTAGCAGCTGGCATGGGTTCCACTGTGCGTTTGGACTGGAAGACCAAGAGTTCCCAAGTGTATGTGGAAGTCCAGAATCTTTAAAATCGCTGCAGGAGTCCAGTGGCGACCTCGTGCCGGAAGCCTGGAGCGTTCTTTCACAAGACGTTTCGGTTTCGGTCAATTAAATGTCGTTTAAACCTAGCATGGGTTCCGATGTGCGTTTGGAAGAGTTCGAGGTGCATGTAGTCGAAGTTGGAAACCGCGCTCGCACGCTGAATGCCTAAGACGCTACCTAACAGTAGAAGCATGTGTACATGTCTGCTTGGATCGAGGTGAAGAAGGATGCGATGGAGTCGCGGGCGATGTCGACAAGGCACCAGTTTCAGGAGTTCGCGCACGGTCTTGACGTGGGTTTGATTGCAGCGCATGTTTGTCGCTTGTGAGTGGCCAAGCCATGCTGACGTTTGTTCACTTGAGCTTGACGTTGTGTGTGTGTGTGTGTGCTGCAGTCGATGTGCCCAGACACCGCAACACAGTAGTCGCCGACGATTCTAACAGCACTTAACACGCAGGGGGCAATGAGCAGAATCTCTCATTAGTTTCACATCGCGCCTGTGTCACTGTCGCAGAGAAATGTCTTGTTGGATCTAGGGATTGTGGATTCGCGGTGCCTGGGACAAATTTTCAAGATGGCCCCAGCCTCCGCAGTCGACCGCCTGGGTGGTTCGCCAGAGGAGACGGGGCAGGACCGGTGCGTGAGTTGGTTGCAACCATGCTTAAACAGTGTGACAGTTGCTGCTTTATTGCGGGCAGCTCCTTTCGGATCCTGCGCTGGAAGGAGACGGCCCGTCGTGTGGTTGACATGGACGCGCTGGACTATGATGAGGAGGCGTCGCCTGCGGAGCCCAAGCCGAAGGCGACTCCGAAGGCCGAGGCGAAGGCCACTGAGCAGCCACAGTCGACGGGGACTACGCAGAAGCCGCCGCAGGTGAAAAATCCTCCGCCCGACCCCCCGACCGATGCCAAGCCATCGACAGCCGCGGCCGCAGCCTCTTCAGTCGTCCAACCAGCCGTCCAAAGCAAGGCGGACGGCAATGGCAAGGACGGCAAGGGCAAGATCAACGCCCAGACGGACGGCAAGGGCGCCGCCCAGACGGACGGCAAGGGCGCCACGCAGACGGACGGCAAGGGCGCCACGCAGACGGGCCCTGCCAACACCACGCAGACGGGCTTGGGCAAGGGAAGCAGGGCCAAGGGGGATGGCAAGTCGGCAGCTGCCAAGTCGACAGGCGTGCCCGCAGTTGCCCAGCCCACCGAGAAGGAGAAAGCGTGGTCCGCGGCGCCGAAAGTCGAGAAAGAAATCGCGCCGAACCAGCAGTGGCAGATTCCCAGGTGCGAAGCCGCTTGGTTTAAAGCAGGGGAAACCCCAGCCACTGGACTGGAAACCTTAAACCACGCCCACGTCGCTAATTCCGAGCACCAACGACGCCGAACCCAAAACCTTCAGGTCATCCGACGGCTCTTCGAGGAGAACCCCGCAGTCGCGGACTGCCTCCTGCGGCACGCCGCCGATGCCAAGGCGTTCAGCGTGACTTGGCGCAATTAAAACTAGACCCTGGGCCCTCGGTGTCAGTGTTGCAGTCGTGCTTGAGTGACAGACTGAGACCGAACAAAATACCTCAGGCCGTCCTAGACGTCCTGTTGCATCCGTCGCCGCGTGGTCGCGCCTACGTAGTCGAGTTGTTCCACAAGGTGCTCAAGCACGACGCCTCCGCCAACACGTCGGCCTACCTCATGACGTGGAGTCAGGAGAAGATGTACTTGTTGAGTCGCTTGGCCTGTTCAGTAGGTAGTCCCAGCATACGTCATAGTAATCATAAGTAGGTTGGCTTCACAGCGCATGCTGATGTCATCATCTAAGTGCGAGAACACCCACAGATCTGGTCGGAAGGCCTTTCGCCAGACCACTGGGGCGAATGGTCGAAGCCCGCCTCGTATCAGTCGGGCGAGTGGAGTTCCTCCGAGCAAGGCTTCTGGAACACAGTCGACTGGCGTGCCAGGCCCTCGATGTACCAGGACTGAGAGGGTTGCGTCATTGTAGCTTTCCTTTTAAAGCCATCGACGCGATGTCGCTTGCCCGACCGGATTGTGAGCTTGTTCCCAGGATGGTCGTGCTCCCCCGGGACATGGCGACGATCGGAACACCGAAACTGAGCTGCAAGTATCGCCGTGCCGAGGTTCTGAGTAGGATTGTTGATTACTTGCCTGTGTCTGGTCCGGGACAATGTCTGCCAAATCTGAGGGCTATGGAGATCAGTGGCGTTGGGGCCGCGACCACCAGTAGTGAGAAGAAGACAGGCCCCATGCCGTAATTGAATTTGACTCAGTCGCCGCGGCCTTGCCCAGAACAAGTCGTGTAATTGTTCGTGCCTTAGTCGTACACCGGTCAGTCAAAGATTAGTGATTCCAGTTCTGTCAGTTGTCGATGGAAACGGGCCGCTTTCATTTCCAACGAGTCAAGAATTCCAGGAATGGCAGTTTTGGGGCTCAGTCGTCGCCTAGGCAGCAAGAACACATGTACGATGCGCCATCTTCTTTTCGATGGCTGAGCCTCGTCAGACGTGCTGACTTCCACAGAAGAAGCTCCTGTCGCGACAGCACCAGTCGAAAAGAAGCGTTGCTTCGTGCGTCGGTGGGGACAGGCTTCCATTTTACTCGCTCACGACTTGCTTCCTGGGCAGGTTCGCTCGGTGCTTGGTGGACGTGTCGTGCGCGGACCTCGGAGGCCTCGGAGTGCACATTATGTGTCGGCGGCTTTCAGCTTTCCCGGTCGCCTCAGCCTTAAACCGTAAACCCAAGCCAGCAACATGCGTGTGCTTGTTGATGCTGCCACATGTTGAAGGTAGCCCCACAGGGACCCCTAGCGCTGCTCGCAGTGGGTTGCAAGTCAGTCGGGGTAAATTGATACCCCTCCGCCCTCCCTTCCCTGAAAGCGTCCATTGCTGCTGCTGAGTCGCTCAAGCACGGACCAACATTCGGCTGAGATTTCTGAGTCGTGACACTCTGTCGGTGAGTGACATGGCCATGGCTCCATCAACCTTTACAGCAGTGTCGGGCGTCGATGTTTCCTCGACCCCACCCATGAATGTGGCGTCCGACGACTTGGAGCTGTCTTTCCCTCTGTCGACTACGTCCGTGAGTGCCACGCCTGCTGCGCACTTTGAGGTCCCAACCAGGGAGTCGGAGTCGGATGTCGATCTCTTCATCGGCTTGTGGTTGCATGAGGGCAGACGCGAAATTCTGGGCCTGGCCATGGATGGAAACTTGCGCGATCGAATCTACTTCAAGAGGCAGACGAGGACCGGCAGGATTGCCACGGCTGGGCCGGTTGGGACCTGGCGTGCAGTCGGTCGCAACCTCCACCTGGAGGACTTTCGCTGCTGTGAGGGGGCCATCTTTCGATATCTCATATTCGTGCCCTCAGGCCACTGTGAGTTAACGATGCACGGCCCCCGCAACCGCACGGTGCATTGGCTGGGTTACGTCGTTTTTGACAAGTTTCTCTCCATTGACACCGTCGCCGCGGCCCTGGAGCGGACTTCCTTGTCGCTTCGCCCTCGCTCTTGCCGGCGTTGACGACAACGTCATGTACAGATCGCCTTCTTCCTCAGCCTCTCATCGACAACGACCAGCGCTCTGAGGAGTTGGAGGAAGAATGGCAACTGCTGTAAATTTGCTAGTCGTGTAGTCGAGGTGACAGTGACTCAGGGAAGCAGTTGCTCAGCCCCATTAATTCACCATTGCCAATGACCATTTTGGTGGACTGTGGGAATACGGTTGGAGACTTCGCTGAGTCACAGAATAGCGAGGCTGGCTAGAACGCCGCCTGCCCGGCCAGTCGTCGATCGTCGACCGTTGCAGTCGATCGTCGACCGTTGCAGTCGTGACTGTCATCAGCATGAAAAGAGTAGGCCGCAAGAGCATTGCATTAAGTTTCCACTTCTTGTCGTGCTGCTGCTGCTGCTGCTGTTCACGGCCAGTTCTCACAGTTGTGCCTGCAGGCTCACGCGGAGCTGTGGTGAAGGCCCGTGCCCTGAACCCTAAACCATCCTTATCTCTTTTGGGCGCTTGTGTGATGATGTTCCAGAGGGTTCAGATGTCGTATGGAGATGCAGTTGAATCAGGGCTGCAATGCATCGTCAGACGTCAGAGTGATCTGGAGGCCCGACCGGCCTCGCTTCGACATCGACCTGCAAGTCAGCCTGAGTCTCAGGTCGTACATGCCCGTTTCTTGAACCCAGCCGTATCATGCCACTGCGCGTGCGTTGGCGGGGGGCAGGCTTCCATTTCAGTCGCTGTCACGACTTGCTTCCTGGGCAGGTTCGTCCCGGCGCTTGGTGGACTGCTTTCTGTTTTTGAGGAGGGAGTCAGTGTGTCGGGCTTGGCTTGGGCGTGCGATGTAGTGCGGGCACTGAGTGTCAGTTTTCGTCCCAGGTCGCGTTGGCTTGCGGCTTCCGCTGCACAGAGTCGTTCTTGGGGCCTGGCGCTTGGTTCGTGTGACGTTTTCGAAGTGCTTCCGTGAGTGTTGCAGTTGCTCGGTTTGCTGCAAGAGACGTCCGTGCAATTCACGCAACCCTGTGGATTCTTCCAGTCGATCAAGTCGTTGCGCTTGCCCAGTCTCCTTGCGCTTCCCCCAGTCCCCCCCCGCCATGGCGGCCTTCTTCATGGTTTTGAGTGGAAAGCAGTGGTTGTCGCTGACGACTGCATCCAAAAAAACCAACGTCGTGCAGCTGCCGGCCACGGAGATGTTCACGGATCCAGTCGAGGCCCTGACCGTTGCTCGGGTTTGAACGGAGCCACGTTTGCAAACCTTGAATAATAAGGTTAGCCCGTAATGTCGGAAAAGGAAAATTTGTTACTGATCCGAGGCGCACACAGTCACGTCAGCAAGGGCCTTGAAGGAGTCGTTCAGCGACGGTTCCGGCGCATTCTCCTCCCAGTCGAAGATCTCCAAGATCAAGGACGAGCTGGACTCATGGGTGGTTGTGAAGGGGACGGTCGGTGAGAGTTTTGTACGTTATACCGGCCAATCCAGTGTGGCACTCGTGGGCGGTCGGCTCATTCTTCGGCATCCCCTGGTGCTGGAGACCGAGGATTCAGTCGCAGAGACCAAAGCCCGAGGAGCAGTGGTGACGTCTTTGGGCCTGCTGAAGAAAGACGGCCTGTTCGAGTCGGTCGAGACCTTCCGTGCCAGGCTCGACGTGCGACTCAATGGCGACATGCCTCAGCCGGCTCCGGGAACCATCCGGCTCCATGTCGTCAAGTCCGACCATTTGCTCCTGGATGACAGGATCCAGAAGTTGTTTCTCCCGAAGCCGGGCGAGAACGAGTCGACTTCAGCGGAGGAGTGCACGATCTCAGAGTCGCAGTTCCTTGGGTTCCCCGACTTGCGCATGGCCGGCCTTGCGTGGCATTTGTCGCGGTCGGAGTTGGAACGTCGGTCGTGTCCCGGTGACCGGAAGTTCCAACTGATCATCCTTGACATGCCGCTGTGCCTTGGCCTTGACATGGTCTCCCAAGTGTGTCACGCTCACCCGTTCATTAAACGATACAGTTAAACACGTGCGAATGCTGCATGTCCTGGCATGCAGGAGCATGGTGATGCAGTCGGCGGAGTGGTACTGCGCCTCGGTCGGAGGGCTTTTGCCGCACTGGAAAGTCGTCTGCAAAGACCAAGCGTCTAAATTGGAGATCGTGAAGAAGACTTTGGTCTTCAACGGCAGCGCGATGCTGGAGGCGGCGAAGGTCGAGACTGTGTCGTTTCGTGGCCTCTTGGAGTCAAAGAGAAAGGAGCTGGAGTGGGACTCCGAGTTCATGGAACAGGAGGCCAAGCGTGTGAAGACGGAGCTCCAGAAAGTCGCGGACCTCATAGTCGCTCTCCCGAGCGAGGAGGGATCGCAACAAACCGGGCCAGCAGTGAGCGACTCCTGAGTCGACATTCTCCGGAAGTTTTGCACTATAAGCATGCGGGTCGTATCTTTGTCTCTCATGGCCCGGAGGGCACTGGCGACAACATGCTTTCTTTGGGAGGTCGTGGGCCTTCATCGATTTTGGAGTGCTCGAGTTTGTGAAACAGTCCTGTATCACGCCGGCCATTGCGGGTGCTCTGGAGAGGGTTCTAAGTTCTAAGTCTACTTTAACCTGAAGGGTTCGGCACGGCCGGCCGTGTTGCAGGGCTGTGACAGTCGTGAAGGACAGTCGTGTGTATTCGCTCAACCACATACGGCCGAGAAAAACATCGGACGATGCTACACGACTTGGCCTTTGTTGCTCACGACTTGGCCTTTGGTGCGCTTGTTTTCCTCAGGAGCTCAGTGACCTGGAGAGCAACGCTTGCCAGGCCTCTTTCACTGTTGTACGTTGCTACTTGTCATGCGGGTTCTGCGTGGCGTTGTTCTTGCTGCGCACTTGCTGTCGTTAGGCGCTGGCAAGGGCAAGTCGGTCCAGGACTGGAGCAAGCTGCAGGAGCCTGAGTTCCACCCTGGGAAACACGGGGTGGTGGCCCAGGCGAACCAGCGTCAACGCCAAACCCCAGACTGTGTGGGATCCTGTGTGAGTCCAGCAGGTACGGTCGGTGATTGCAGCATGCGACGGCGATGTGGCCTGGACTGGTCGGAGACCTGAGCAAGAAAGAGCGCGTGGCCTTGTTTTCCAAATGTAAATACTGCAATATTTGCGTTCCTGGAATCGGAATGAGGTCCTAAGTCGGGCCGGTGTCTCGGGGGGAACAGTCGGCCGCGGAACAGTAACGGGTTCGGGCATGAAGCCAAGCAGACGCTCAGTGACACACATGTGACAGGTGTACTTTCTACTGCTCGGCTGTTCAGTTTGGCAGACGCAGAAACCCCTACAGTAGGTGCCGCTTTATCTTTGTCAGTGGCGGTTCTTCTACCAGCCTCGCGTCTTTGACAGTGTGTTCACACTCCGGATGTTCCCAGTCAGTTGCAAGCCAGCGCGAAGCGTTCCTGCGTGCCTGAGGCTGCGGCTGCCGAGTCCACCGTCTGGAACCCTGGGAAGTCGGCACATGGTCCAGGCCGTCATTGTCAGCTTTAATCACAATGTCCGTGCTGCAGCATTGGCCAGCATTACTGCACTGTCACTACAGGCGAGCCGATTCATTGATTCAATTCGCAAAATTGGGCTCGTCGAAGCGAACAATGTAACCAGTAGTAGAGCTCTCGCGTCTCTAGAGTAAGTAACCTTTAACCTTTTTGGGGCAATACAGTCTTTACAGTGTTGCTTATGATCTTAAACCCTTAGTTTCCCCAGCCATGAATGCCGAGAGTGGGGAGAGTGCTCGGCCTGCTCCAAGCAAACGTCGCGGCCCCCAGCCTGCCCAATCCGGTCTTGGCAGCCCTGGGCCCCCACGTCCCCCTGACTACCGGCCTCCGGGACTCTCCACACCTTGCTTGGGGACGAGAGCGAAGTCAGGGCCGCCAGTGAAGAAGGCCAAGGCAGAAGCTGAGCCCAAGGCTGGGTCCGCAGAGAGGAACAGGGCAGAGCCCAAGGCCGAGTCGGCGGAGAAGCCCAGGGCGGAGCCCAAGGCCGAGTCGGCGGAGAAGCCCAGGGCGGAGCCCAAGGTGAAGTCGGCTGAGCAGCCCAAGGCGCAGCCCAAAGCGCCCCAGTCGCAGCCCACGACGGCAGAGCCCATGGTAGAGGTTGTGGTAGAGCCCATGGCAGAGCCCATGGCAGAGCCCAAAACAGCGCCCATGGCTGAGCCCCCGAACGCACAGCCGAAGGATAAGGCTAAGGTGATGCCGCAGGCCAGACCCATCCCCAAGAAGGCGCCGCCCGAATTGCGATCGAAGTTGGTGGTTCCGCCTTCCCAGACGCCGAAACCTGCTGTTGTTACTGTTCCACCTTCCGAGTCGCAGCAGTCCGAGTCGCAGCAGCCCGCCCCCCAGAGCCAATCCAGCCGCTCGGGTACCAGGACTTTGTCACCGGCCAAGTCGCGGACACGGATGATGAAAGAAAGAGAGCGGTCGCCTGCTCGGCGCAAAGGCAAGACTCTGGGCTACCCGACGCCCCCGAATGAGTGGTTGGTTCCGCGGTGCGAAGCCGCTTGTCATCAAACCTTTAAATTATAGACCGGTAACCCCAACCCTAAACCCTGAACCCTTAACCCTAAACCCTAAACTCGTCCGTCGTCACTGGTCGCATGGAATTGCCGCAAGAAAAAATTGACACCTGAGAATCGCGACGTCAGCTCAGGTCGTCCGGCAGCTCTTCACCCTCAATGCCGGCGTCGCAGACGTCATGCTGAGGCTTGAGTGCGACGGCGCGGCCTTCAATGCCACTTTGTCGGCTATACTACTAAGTTTGAAATTTGACTTCTGATTATAATCATCAATATTATTGACTTCATTTCAAAATGTCCGATCGACAAAAATTCTGCACGGACAAGGAGTCGCTGTAAGCCCAGGCAGTCGTCAACCTCCATCTCCATCCGTCGCCGCGAGGGAAAGCCTTCGTTTGCGAGTTGCTGGTGCGCTTGATGAAGGAGGAGACGTGATTAGCTAGGGTTTTGTGGTCTTCATCGGACTGCGATCAAGCGTGTTGGAAAACATGTTTCAGTCTAGCCTCTCTCAGGAAAAGCCGACGAACCCGTCCGCGTACATCATGCGGTACCACCAGGAGAAGATGCGCTTGCTCAGCTCTTTTCCTGCAGTTGTGAGTCCGTGTGTGTTCAAGTTATGTGAAAGCGATTCCTGCCTTTGCACATTGTCCTGCCTGACCTAAGTGGCCGAGCATCCCCAAGCGTGGAGTCGTGAGATGCGAACAGAAGAGTGGGGAGCCTGGGCTCGGCCAGACGCCCAGGATGAGTCAGAGCCAGCGAACCTTGGCCAGCATTGGCAATTGGGCACTCGTCGTCTGTTGCTGCTGACAACCACATCCGACATTGATGCGTTGGCTGCAGGAGTCGGAGGGGCCAGGAGCAGAGCCACGAACATCTGAATACGTGGGTCCAGGACCAGGAGGACAGCCAGTGGAAGGAGGGCCACGAGTGGCAGCAGTGGACCGACGACACCAGTGGTGTTGCTTGGCTTAAGCACGCTGGCGACTTGTGCTTCTTGCTGTTTTCTGAGCTGTTGGCACGTAATTACTCAGGCATGGTCTCACACTGCCTGGACTGCAGAGGAATGAAGTGGCTGAGTCGCTGCCTGAGTCGCTTGCCTGAAAACCCTTTCTTGCATCTTGAAGATACAGTCGCAGAGATACGGAGTCGACAGGCTGACCTGGTGGCAGTCGGACTTCAAGTTCCAGCCATCGATCCAGTCGTTTGTCTCATGAGACGCTGGCAGTGTTCACAAAGCCTGCGCTACGATTTTGGTTTAACAGGACGTATTATGCATTACCTGTGGAAGGCTTGGTGAAACGACCTGTGACAAGCTGTTAGCTTCAGATGTGACAATGATCTGAGGCTTTGTCAGTCTTTTTATTTCAAGTCCTGGGAGTCAGTCGGACTGAGACTCAAAGCCACCTCAGGCTTGGCATCGAGTTCTCAGAGTTTCAACCAATATTTACTAGCGAGATGACGAGAATGATGTTTTCGCTGTCTTGGCTGTCTTGCAGGAGTCGGTCAGGCATGTGACTCCCACAATTGACTGTTCAAGTCCCTGCTGCTGCAGAGTGGAAAACCGTTCCTGTGAGCACGCGACATTGACTGCCTTCTCCACAAAGGCTGCTGTGACGAGACTTCTGTTCTGCGCAGGTGCCAGTCGGCAGGTCGCCTGCGCAGACACGTCGCGTGGTTCTCAGTCGCCAGCCATGAACGGTCTGTCTCTGGCTCGCAGATGTAAAGTTGCAGCGCAATTTCGCTGTTGCAGGTTCACCGTTGTTGCCAATCATGCAGGAGGAGAAAGAGGTCGGTCCCGACCGCCTGGCCCTCAGACTCCCTCAGTACATTTCAGGAGTGCGGAATCGATTTATTCCACTTATGCTTCAGCTTTCCGCATTCGGCTGTAGCCTAATTACGGATGCTTACTATCACTCGATGTGTTCGATGCGCTGCAATGAACCAAACCTGTAACAAGTAAGTTGAGTACTGTCAGGAATTATTGTGTATTTGATGAAACGCAAGGCTTTTTGTTAATGTGTCTGTGTCAAATATACTGAGTCAAAATTTGAAAACGAATCCAGCATACCAAGGGCCTACGTAAGCTTGTTGTCGAAAACATGGCAATTATCTTTGGAATTGGCTCCTGCGTGTGGGAACCGCTTCCGTCACAAACGTCAGGGAACCGCCACGAAACCGTGCGTGCAGGTACCGCTTTGAAACCGTGTGTGCCGGAACCGCTCCCAGAACGCCAGGCAATATTACAATCATCAAAATTACTTTACCCAAAAATATGTATTCTGTAACGTTTGGTAAATTAAGCAAAACACAATTTACATTTAACAAGACCACACATTTACACGATTATGTCGATGCTACAAAAAACCACGGAGAACACAAGAATTCATTATCACATATTGTGTATGTCATGAAGTTACCTGACTGTAAGCAATTTTTATCAAGATTTTTTTGTAACAAATAATTTCTTAAAATACACAAACACATGCATAGCAAGAAAATATATAGTTATCTTCAAAATTGCCTTCTGCGTGCGGGAACCGCTTCTTTCACTGACGTGAGGGAACCGTACTGGGTCCGTACGCAACCTGTGGCTAAGGTTCATGTACGGGCCGAAGACCAGTTTCCTTATGTCCTTGAATTTAATTCAAGCCTCAAACCAATGGTCCTGGTCCTGGTTCTAAGGAAAGCATACAGCGAAAACTCCGTCCTGGGAGTCCAGTGTTACGTCGCATGCCGGTGCTTTGTATGTGATCGTTGCTGAAGCGAACAGCTATTTCGCAGGTTGCTTTTTGTCGATTCTGCACACTTGGCATTGCAAGGAAGCGAGGTTAAAGGATTAATCTGTTTCCACGCGTTGACACACACACACACACACCCACGCGCACACGCGCGCGCACACGCACACGCACCTGGCCTCATGCTGGGATGCGTCGGCAGCCGCTCCCTAGGGTAGCGGCTGTTTGCTGCTGCGCACCGCCCAGGCCACACAGTCGGCTGCATGTGGAAGCTCTTCGTGCGGCGCTCAGGTGTCGAAGGCACTGTGAGAGGGCGGGCACGGAATCTTCCAATGTGCTGCATAAGCGTTGGCTCACTCACTCGGGGTGCTAGTGTGGTCTACGTCCCAAAGTCGATTACAACTTGATTTCAGAATGCCCCGCCGCTGTTGGCTTAAGTCGATTGTCAGGGGAAGCAGTCTTGCAAAGTGGAGCAAGGGAAACTCACTGTGGTCGAGCTGGGGAAGCTCACTGTGGTCGAGTACGGGAAGCTCCCTTTGGTCCGGAGCCGCTGGGGGTGGCACTAGTGGAAGTCAGTCTTAGATGGGAATTGACAGGGCTCTCGCCTCATATGTTTCCCTACGTGCCCGGGGTAGGCGGTTGCCGCACGTTAGAGCCGTTAGAGTGTGTGTTTTTTCTGGATGCTGTGTCCAAGGGCTGCTACGGAGCCGATTCGATCAACATGATGGCAGTGGCTCAGCCCCAGGAGCATGAGCGGCCGAACGTTGCCCTACTCCAGAAGGATGCGATAAGAGCCTTGAAGTCCAAGGGCGATGTGAAAGAAAATGTGCCTGGGTAGCTGACTGGACTCGGAACACTCGTGATTAGGCTGCTAGGGCGCAGGAGGCCCGCCATCGACGAGAAACCTTTAATAAATCAAATTCTCAATGACTTTTATGCAAGACCAGGTGCAGAAGACGCAGCTCTTTCTCCAGTCACCATCGACTGCCTGCGCGGCGGGCATTTCCAAGAACGAGTCGGTCCTTGAGTGTTTTGTGGTGCCAGCCTTTTTGACCAAGTCCTTTGTCACCACGGGCATCATTGAGTGGGTACTTTTCAAAGCAGCACTCTCTTACGGCGCATCTTGTTTGACGTTAGTTTCCTGGACGAGTTCGATTTTCGAATCGCACGCATCCTCCGACCGCCCGTCAGGTACCGCAGAACGATTTTGATCAGCACGCAGAGGCCAAAGCCATCAAGAAGATGCTGAACGCTCACCGTCGTGACCGGATTGCACAGGGTTTGCACTGAAGGCTCATGTGTGTCTGGCAATTTCAGTGGCAATGATGTTGCTGCAGCAACTTGATCGCGAGGTCTTGCCGAGCGATCTGAAAGATGTGCAGATGCGGCAGTCGAGCGGCTTGCAGTTCCTTTCACTGCATAATCTGAGTCGTTCATTGCTGGCCCTAGTGACAGTGGCTGTCGTGAGTCAATGAGGCACGGCTGGTGCCACATGGGCTGCTTCGAAACATGCGTGTAAGAGGCCGACAAGGCCGAGCGGCCCAAGGAGCCAACCAGGAAGGCCAAGAAGCCGGGCAGGGCGCCGGAGTCGGCCACCTGGTTGAAGCTGAAGGGCTCGTGCATGCCAGGACTGTGAGTAATTAGCTTTGACACTCATGGCATTCTTGCCTGCCAATTTGCTGCTTCGGCTTATGTAGGAGTCGCAAAAGAAAGCTGGACGACGCGGAGTCGATCATTCGGAGGCTGTTAGGGGAGTGTGCGCAGAAACAGACACTGTGCACACGTGGGCAAGATTCGGTTTGTTCGTCATCGCCTGAAATTGTCGTGGAGGCAGTTGGAGACCTCCCAGCTGTATCGAGTCGAGGTGCAGTGGAAGCTCCGGCCAAAGCGCGTGACGATTCGTCACCGCTACACTGGGAAGACAATGTGGTCGTTCATGCACGAGAGCGACGATATCCTGGTAAAGCTTTCAAACCGAGTCGCTGTCAGACTGCATTGGACATGATTGCCACTGTCACTTGGAAAAGGCAGTTCCGGGCAGACTCAGGTCGGCTATTTGCGCAGGGAGCCCAATTTGCTCCCAGCAGACCTTCGCTGCCGGGCAAATGATGCACTGGAGGAGTTGATGCATGGGTTGCAGAGGCAAGCACCCGAAGAACTAGCAGTTGTACAGAACGACGCTCTGCGAGATGCAGCTGGTCTTCTGCAGTAGGAAAGTCCATGAGAGGGCTGCGGTAGGACAGCTGCTGCAAGTCGACCAGTACAATGTCTGGAGTCGGCCGTTTCAGCTGCAGAGACGGTATTTCCATGACCCCGGGGCGAATTGTCGACGAAGGCACATGTGAAAAACTGATGTGATTTTCCAGTGCAGCATCTGAGCCTTGGTGCAGCCGTGTCATTGCATGTTGCTGTGACAAGAAGCATATTCTTCTAGGCTCTTCGAGTTCGTTTTGACCGAGCAGTCGTTTGGCTTGCAGCAGGGGAGCTGGATCTGCGAGGGCCTGATGAGCATGGGAGATTCAAGACGCAGAAAAGCACGGCTGCGCTCCCAGAAGGGCGGCAAACTTTGTCGGTCATCAGTGAGGCACTCCCTTTTTTTTTGAGACCAGTCGAGCAAGGCAGCCCGCGCCATGGGGACTCGCGATGCGGCTTGCTTTGCGCGAAGTATTGGGCCCGGCCGCTAGCCCAGTCGCAGGTCCTGCTTTCAGAGTCGCCACAGACTGCAGTGGCATCGAGGCCCGGTTCTGCCTTTTCTGACACTGTCGCTGTCGTGTGTATAATGTTCGACCTGCCATTGCTTCCTAGCACCCTGGCGTGCGGTTCACATGGCCAGCCACAGCTGTGTAATTCGCAGGCCCCGCTCCATGCCCTGGATGCCCTGAAGATTATGCACCAGCATGTTTTTAGCTGCGACATGAACAAGTCGGCCAAGGCGGTGGTTCGCCTCAATCGCATCTCGACTGATGCTGCCGCTGCCGCTGCTGCCGCTGCTGCTGCTGCTTTATCCGTGCAATATCAGTGTTCTGAATTTCAACGACGCCCGAGTTTCAACGTTAGCCCATGCAAACTTCAGTCCGACCTTTCCAAGATCGGCCACACTTCTTCTTCGACAACCTGCTTGACCGCGATCTGGAGCAGACACCTCCAGGCCCAGTCGACTTGTACAGTGCAGGCTTTCCTTGCCAGTCGTACTCCGCCCTTGGAAAACGGGACGGCTTGGCGAACAAGGAACGAAAGAAGGTGCTGAATCTTGCCTTCAGATTCGTGCTGAGGTAGTGGCTGTTGTTCGTGTGTCCTGCTTTGACACGCAAGACTTGCACCGAGGATCGGCGTGCTGGCAAGCCTCGTGCTTCTGCAACCAAGGCTTGCTATTCTGGAGAATGTGTGTGGCCTCCTCAAACACCTGAAGTCTGTCATGAAGTTGATGCGGAGAATGGTGGGGGAGCAGTATCACATCGTGGTGGCTGCGTGGCTGAATGGACAGTTTAAGTTAATTTGGTAGAACTGCCTGAACACATCTGGCTTCACTGTCTGAAGGTTCAGTTTTGTTCGACAGACGTCGGTGCATTGGTTCGGCGGCCGCGGGTATTTTTCCTTTTCCTGGATCGGAGCAGATGCACGGCCAACTCCGTCGCCGACCTGGCGGAGTCGTGCAAGAGGTTGTTCAAGGCCTTTGCCAAAGTCGGCCTCAAGCACAAAGGTTCCATGAATCAGGTGCTCGCGACAAGACGTCGCCGCTGCAGCCTGGTCAGAAATATGCAGTCGGAAATGCGCACGGTGACACTGCCCGCTGCTTGTCCTGCTTCCGAGACCTGCCTGTGAGGCAGCCAGTCGCTGTCCTCCAAACAGGCCAATGTGCTCAAGCAGAGAGTGCTCAAGCACCGCGACCGGACACGCTCGTTCCTTGTGGACGTTTCCCAGTCTGAGGCGTTCGCACGTTTCGGTCGTGACACCTCCCCGACATGGGCTCGCGGAAGCAAGATGGTCTTTGTTCCTGCGTTCATGCCGGCCAGTCGCTATGTCGTGCTGGATGGGGAGGATGCCTTGGCAGCCTGGCTAAGACTAAGAAATGAAGGCGAAGTTTTTTTTTGTGCATTCTGACTCCTGACACCGAGGGGTGGATAGGAAGCAGGAGCTAGGAAAACGACCTGAGGCACTGCATGACTTTCCGGAATTGAAGATGCCCGAGCACGTCACGGACAGGAACCTCGTCCAGCTCGTCGGCAACAGCCAGCACATCAGGTCGATTGCAGTCGCTTGGCTCTTGGGCTTGGCCACAACATCCAGAAAGCGGTCAGCCAAAGTGTTTGACGCCTGCTTTCTGCACCTCAGGCACGGTCAGCCATTCATTTTTGGATTTGTTGGTCGGCAGCCTTTTCATGTTGAAAACAATGTGCAGGTGCCAAAATGATGGTCTCGTCGACGTGACGACGAAGCGGAAGAAGAGGAAGAAGACATCCCGCAAGTAGGTGCCTACAGAGTCACAGTCGTCACCGGCGAGTCACTCGATTTTATCTAAGCTGACTGCGCGAGGGGATGCGCACGAAACAGTCGGAAGAAATACAAGGCTTGTTCGCAGTTTCCAGTTATGCTCCCTTGGGTTTCTAGCGGTTTGAGTCTAGTCTACATGCGGTTCGAACTTTTTTGGATCTTGTTTGGTTCCAGCTCAGTAGGCCCAGACTGTATCCTAGAGACTCTCCGGCCAGAAGCTTCGGTCTAGGTTGGTCTCAAAGCCATTGGCTTTTTTGAGGTAATCTTCCGGCAGCCGTTGGGGAAATTACCTCACCAAATGGCAAGATTCGATGAGGTAATCGAGTTATAACCGGTTATAACTTTTCCTTTCCTTTATTAAAAAGGTAATATCCCGCCAGCCGTTCAGGAAATTACCCCACCAAGTGGCCAGGTTCATTGACGTAATCCAGTTATAACCGGTTATAACTCCGTGTGTCTTTTGCGGTTCCCACTCAGTAGGCCCAGAGCAGTCGAAACCTTAAAGCTCCGCTCGCATGGTCTTTGGTTGTCCAGCCAGTAGGCCCATAGCTTGAGGCAGGGCTCCAGCGACAGCCACCCTGAAGCTAATCAGATCAGGGCATTTACTAAATTCCAGTATTATAGTTGATGGGTTCTGAGGCCTTGCTCCAGACAGCACCAAGTCTTGACCTGCAGCTCGACCGATCCCGGTTTCCAAAGAAGCAAGAGTAGGCCCAGGCTCCCGGCTCCGGCCTCCAGACCGGTTACACTTTGAAGTGCTAGGCCTCTATTACTTCTGGACTGGAAGTTGACGAAAGTTATAGCCCTTGCCTGTGCTGCGAAAGCTGGAGCGGATTGTGAGTTGGACCCTGACCGCCAGTCGCCCCTTGAGCGGTTCAAGTCGTCCGGTGGCCTTGGAAAGCCATGTCTCCTGCGAAGAAGGCAAAGGCTAAGCCCACCTGGCCCGACAAGTCGGTTTGGGACGATGCCGATGCCAGCCGCGTTTTCCTTGCTGAGGTGGAGTCGTATGTCCGGGGCCCAATGCCTTTAATTAAATGCGCATTTGTAAAGGAGAGCTTTGAAGATGTACCTTCCTCAGGTTCAAGATGCATGGCCGGAAATTCTGCACAAGCACAAGCTCCTCAAGGCCGGCCAGACTAGTTTGACTGCCCTGCCTGCGTTGGCAATCGACGCCACGGACTCAAAGTCCACGGTCACCGGATTCAAGGAAGTCTGGGACACAACCCGGGCACACGTGGCGCTCAAAAAAGACCACATATATGAGGCAGGCGCCAGTTTGGCGTGGGTTTCGGCATTGATGCCTCCACCGTGCCCGGTCGACCCCCTCCTGCTCACGACGGTCGCTTGGCACTGTGTGGTTGCTGTTCTGTGTCTCTGTGTGTCTGTGTGTGCATGGCGCCTGAAGCTCTTGCCTCAAGGTCATGCAAGTCGCGGAAGAATGCTTCGTTCCGTTGGTGATCGGAAAGAAGAAGCGGCTCATCTTTCCCACGACAGTGGTTGCGTCGTTGAGCAAGTTGCCGGCAGAAGACGAGTTGCCCAAGGAAATGCCGGTGGTCGGTGGAAGGGTCGTGGTTGCTGCTTTTTGGGTGCCTTTGACAGAAGACAGTCGTATGAGAAGCGTGCCGCAGTTGCACTTCCGAGCATTGCCTGCATGCCCAGGTTAAAGTCTTCAAGGAGATGTCCGAGCCGAGCGTCTCACAGGAGTCCATGCGGTGTCTCCTCGAGTGCATGCTTACCGTGACCATCCAGGCGCACAAGACGGACTCGGGCGCCTTGGTAGTTGCATCATTGAAAGCCAATGAGGATCTGCGAAGAGTCGCGCTTGCAACTTGTGACACTTTCCTGACTTGGTGTCGCAAGTTAACCGTGGTCGCCCAGACCGACATGACAGATAAGTCGGCGCCGAAGATGTTGGAGTCGGTCCACACTGGCTTGACAAAGCTGGGCTTTGCCGAGGTCGGCTTCACCTTCAACGGTGTCAAGGTCGATGCAAAGTTGATGCAGGCATGCCAAGCAGTGTTGCGCAACATGACGCCGGAGTCGGAGGCGTTGCTTCAGCGAAACTTGGCTGTTCTGCTGGGCTACCTGTGATTGCGTCCTTGAATTATAAGACAGACTTAAACTCAGGCATCACCGGCCTCTTCGGCCCGTCGGTTGCCGGAAGCCACAACAAGATGAAGTCGCTCTTCCGGACCTCGTCCGAGTCCGCGCGATTCATGGTCGGCATCCTCTTCTGCAATCTGCAGAGGTCGCATTTCCGAGCTTCGGCCACACGGCTGCCATTTGCTTCTTCGCGGTGTTGTGTTGCAGCTGAACACCTAAAGACCCGCCGGATGCATGTTCGACTCTTGCCGTTTGCGTTGCGTGAAGACGGACTCAGGAGCTCACAGACGACGGCATGGACAAGTGGGCCCGCGCCATGTGCGACTTCCATGAGATCATCACCGCGCTCCAAACAGCCGTGTCGTTGCTGCCGGACAACAACAACAGCAAGGAGATCAGGAACCTTCTGAACGTCTTTCGTTTCTTGGCTAGTGATTGGCCTTCATTGACGTCATCAAGTTGGTTGAATTTCGCAGTCGCAACGAAGGTCAGCCGGAAGACTACAGTCGCACCAAGTTCGAGGAGCAGTCGCTGCACATGAAGCTGAGGCCCCTGCGCGACTTCCTCATTGCCATCATGGAGCAGGAGCGAGACGAAGACTTGAACGAGTTGTGCGGCAACAAGAAGCCCATCGTCGACATCTTGAAAAACAAGGAGTCGGATCTGGAGCTGGGCGTGGAATTCCGACACGTGCTGCAGTGCATGTCCACCATGGCCGATGCCAAGGATGCAGGCGAGAGGGACCGCGTCCAGCTCAGTGCCTTGGTGACAGGCCGTGTCATGCGTCCGCAACCCCAAACCCTCAACCCTCAACACTGAACCCTCAACCCTGAAGCCTGAACCTTTAACCCCAACCGAATGTGAGCGACAGGCGGAAACCTCGAGTCGATGGAGGAGTCGTTGGAAGAGCTGCAGAAGTTGCGCGGTAAGGTTTTGGACAAGGTGTCGGAGAAGACGCGCAAGAATGTGAAGCTCCACTGCAACGCCAACCCGAAACAGACAGTCGCAGCCATTCCACGCCTTGCGCAAGGCAAGCTTGGTAGTCACCACCGGCTTTTTGTCGTGAGCGCAGAGCTGCTTGACGAGCATGAGGGCAGCCAGTCGACCCCTTGGGCAAGCGCGCCCGGTAACAAGAACTTGGTTGATCTCTTGGGCCAACGGTTGGATTTGGTTCTGGAAATGGCGAAAGAGCCGTGGGACTTCATCGTCGTCTCCGACGGGGCCAACAAATCCTTGCGCCAGACCATCCAGAACAAGCTCGGCAATGTCTCCGAGCTGTTGGTCCTTTATGAGGAGACGAGTCGCTTCCAGGACTACAGCAAGCGTGGCCAGTGGCAGTCGCTCTACTTGTGCAACCCCAAGGGAGCAAAAGATGCCCAGATCAACCTGGTGCCGCGGGAGGCCGCCTGATGCCTCATGTCCGTGTTTGGTGAAACGTGTCAGTGTAACGCAGCACGTCCACTGGTGCCAGGATTGCGGCAAAATGCAGCACGTCTTCGCTGGCGTTTGCGCCAATGCGACGCTGGACCTGGACCGCATGTCCACTGACACGAAAAGGTCGGTCTGGAAGGATAAAGGATTGGTTCGTCCGCAGAAGTGGCCGAGCGAGTCGATTCCGTGGCACTGGTCGGATGTGTTGCCAATGGACGTCTGGGACTCGGTGATGACGATGCTGCGGGTGGCGTCTGTCGTGGACTTGTCTGCCGGGCCAACGTGCTTGCGATCGTGCCTGAAGTCGGGAACCTCCTATTTTGGAATCTGCCACAATGATGCTTTTTGTGCCTGGTTGCAGGCAGTCGCCGACAAGGAGTCCCTGAAGCAACTTGGCTGAAAAAGCTTTGGCGCCAGATTTAAGTTAGTTAATTAATTCAGAATCGTCGGTCGGTTACACACCTTCGGCCAAGGCTTGTGCAGGATTCGTCGGTGCCCCACATGTATGACTCCAACCTCACAGAGATGGTCCTCGAGGCTTTTCCCGAATTGGCCGAGGAGGACAACGAAGAAGGGGAGGACAAGAATGGCGACGATCAGGACGAGGAGGAGGCGACCGAGGAGACGTTGTATGCGCCTGATGGGGCGGCCTGAGACTTGCAGGTTCTGCTTCGTTGCAGTTAGTTTTGCTGCTGAGCCAGTGCGCTTTGCTTTCCCGTGATCGCTGGCCTGGGGTCCTGCGAGTAGTCGTGAGAACTTAGAGAGACAAGCTGACGGAGCCATCGAGCTATTATAAATTATAACTTTGCCTGACCTAAGCCTAAAGCGAGCCGCGGGCTGCAGCGGGGCCTCGAGATGCAGCGTCCGCGAACACTGACTGGCACAGCTGGGGAAATTGTTGTTGGGCAGGGAGGTTTGAACTGAGCGTTTGCCTGAGCCATGCTGCCATCATTAATTTTGTTGCTTTTCCGTCATGTGCTTTGCTTCGATCACATGGACCACCCGTGATGTTGCAGTCGCTACGCAGGCTCAGGTGCAGTCGAAGCAGCAGGCAGCGCAAGAAAAAACAGGTCTAGCACTACCGCAACACTGTTTTCTTCTCGGTCGTGTTCCGTTGGCTGCGCCATGGTGGGCAGTCGGACGAAGAAGCGAGCAGCTTCAGAAGCCCCCGCCTTGAGACTCCCTAGCAAGGTCCAGCGGGCAGCCTTGGTGCCCACGCCCGCGGCTGGCCAAGAGAATGCCAGCGTGACGCCAGTCGAGGAACTGTGGCCGCCCCCTGCAGACGCTGGCACCCAGTGGCTTCAAAAGCTGGCTCATTGGGCTGGGGCCTCAGAGAAGCGACTCCGATTTGATGCGAACTTAGACTTGCCATCCAAACTTGACCGCTGCAAGTCGTAAACCCGTAAGGTCCGTGCCAAGCTGTCGCAGCGTGGGTTCCAGTCGAGGCCAGAGCCGCTTATGTTCCACGACGATGGCGAGGAGCAAGCAGTTGCGGAACCTTGGTGCCCCGAGCATTGCCTGATGGCTTTGAAGAAGAACGGCGAGTACATTGCGGGCGGCCACGTGTTATGGCTGTCCCTGGCCCGGCACTCTCGCGACAATCTGATCCAAGACGATATCGCTTACCGTGATGTAGAAGACCTCGCGCAGATGATGCAGCTGCAGCTCAGCGGCAATTTCCAGAGGCATTCTCATGCCTGTGCATGTTACCCCGGACATCCAAGGAGCAACAAGCACAGCTTCCCTGTCACAGTCGAGGCGTACACATGGGAGGTGCCGGCCGGCTACCCCGAGGTGCTGCACTTCCTGTCCGACATGAAGCCAGTCGCAGTGTGGTGGGTGCCCCGTGCTTCAGTAAGCTCATAATGTCAAGCGGGAAGCATGTGGAACACGTTGCAAGGTTAGTTCGTCCATACGACTTGCTGAAATCAGCCCGCTCGCATCTCAGGTGGACATGTTCCAAGCTCTTCGAAATGAGAGAGAGCAGGACATACGAGCACTTTGGCGAGTTGCAGCGTCGTGTTGCATTCACCTGTATTGGGTCGCTTCTCTTCTTATTATTAAGTACTTTGCTTGCGCGCGCCACTGACTGGGTTGTAGTGTAGGTCCACAGAATCAGATAGAGTTCCCGGGTGCCAAGGACAAAGGCAGCGCCACTGAGTCGACAAAGTGTCTGCTGAAACAGAGCTTGCTGGCCAGTCGCACACGATCCCAGTACTTCGAGAACACGTTCGTGACGTGGTCGAGGAAGCTGTGTGCGTACATGACTTCCCTGTCATCAGGAAGGCTGCAGTCGCGCAATGAGCTTCTCAAGCTCCTGCAGAAGAACGACCCAGGATTTGCCTACAACGGCCAGGTCGGCAACTACTATATGGTGCACGCGGCCGAAGTCGTTTCCGAGGTCGTCGTCAGAGAGGCTCTGCTTGTGCTTCAAGACCTGACTCGTCGACACGGAGTCGACTTTCTGGCGAGTCAGTACAGCAAACTTTGGTACTTGGCAAGCGCCGCGAAGAGATGGTCTACGGACACCTTCACGCCTGTTGAAGTGCTGACGTTTGTGTTGCTTCTCATGGGAGACGACCTAGCCAGCGGCGAGCGCTTGAAGCCGAAAGCAGTCACAAAGTCAGCTCTGAAGGTGCAAGCCTGCAGCACTTGTGAGGACCCGGGGCTCTGGAAATCATTTTGTACTCGTTAGTAGTAGTAAATGTAAGAAATAGCAGCTTGAGCAGTGAATAGCCGAAAATGAAGACCCCCAGCCCAGGGCCAGTCGACACCTTGCGTGACGTGCCCTATCAATTGGCTGCGAGTGGCACTGGAAAAGGCCCGACTGTGGCATTACTGCGTGAAGGAGCTGCACAGAAGTAATGTCTCCCCACAGTTGCTGCAGCAGCTCGCCAACGTCGGTTGCCATGACAAGCACTGCCTGGATGGCGACTCGAAGATGAAGCTTGCTGCGTGGGTGGAGGTGGCAGAGACAGATTCACTGGAGAAGTCGCTTCGAAAGGGCAAGTCGCAGGAGTACCGCCAGAAGATCTTAGATCGACTGCAGGAAGCTTTGGGTTTCGACTTGGCCAAGGGCATGCTCCGAGTGTCTGCGGCTCCACTTTCGCAGTCGCAGCACGATCAGCGTGATGCCATTGCGGCCAAGGCAAAGTTGTTTTGCGATGATCATGTGCACTTCGAAGTGTACGGGAAGGCAGACTTGCTCGAAGATGCCCTGAATCGGTTGCCGCCGGAGTGGATGCAGGAGTGTAGTGTGTTGAACAAATCGCATCGCTTGTTCGTGGTGTCGACAAGCCTCCTGTTCGAGAACGAGAAGATGCCCTGGAACTCCAGCAGCAAGTCGGGTTGGACGAAGTCGCAGTCCAAGGAATTTGCTAGCCTTCTCAAGACAGTGAAGACAGCGGCCTCGCAAGATGGCGAGACTTGCCTGTGTGTCAGTCATGGTTTTTCCACTTTCAATGCTCATGGATCTGCCCGCGTTAGAGTCAGTGTCACGTCGTAATGACAAGGCCATGGTCTTAGTCGAAACAAGCTGCCCAAAACTCCGGCGTGTGGTCGAAGATGAATTTCAGGCGCTGCTTCTCGGTCGCACTGATACGGGCTTGAAACCTGAGAGTGACTCGTCAAGACAGTCAGTGTCACATGTCGCCCAGGAGCCGCCCAAGCCACATAGGCTATTTCCAAGCACTGTATTCTCAGTCGCCGCGGCCCAGTCGCAGCATCTTCGCGACGCCCTCCGAGAATTGGACTGCTATCGTGTGGTCCAAGTCGCCCAAGGTGCGTGTCACGACAGTCGATCGCGAGGCAGGACTGTGGTCGAATTGTATTCGTCTGTGCTGCTCTGAGCCTCCGGTCTGATGCAGGATCCGTTCAGGACCCATGGCTGTCCCAGTACTTTGAGTGGATTGACTCCCCTGAACGTGTTCGACCTCCCGCGGATGGCGGAGACTGAGAAAGTCGCGGCCGATGACTTGGCAAAAGTGCCCAGTCGACCCCGCCATTGGGACAGTAGCGCGATACCATGGCGCTGGCATGAGACTTTGCCCGAGGAAGGCTGGGGGTGCATACTGAACCTGTGCCGCGGGCGCACTGTTCTGGATTTCAGCCTCGTGCCTGCATGGATTTTTTTTGAGTTTGCATCTACTAAGCTCGAAAGGCTTGCGTGCCCGGGTTGCCATTGCATTGGCGCTCTATAATAAGGCCCTGGAGTCGGACTTTTACGGGCCAGTCTGCGCAATGGAGTGAGATATGTCGGCTTCTGTCGGAAACAAGGACTTCGGAACTGGTGCAGCAACCTGTGTCTCCAGAACTCCTTGCGGCCACTTGACTGCTTGACTTGAACAATCCAGTCAGTGTCAGTAATACTAGTCATGAGCGTCAGTCGTTCAGTCGGCAGACTTGAGGCTCATATCGGACAAGACGCACATCCTCTTCGATGAGAGTTGGCAGGCCGCGGTGCAGGAGCTTTTTCCGGAGCTTGCTCCTCCTAGTCGTAGCGATGTACATCAAGCAAGCTTCGACGATGACGATGATGATTAGGCCCACGTCAGCGTACGACTGTCGTATGGGTAGACAGGACTTGGTGTTTCACGGGGCAGCCGCAGCTGCAGTCACACGTAAATGAACCTCAGAATTGTGCTGTCGGAGTTACTAGTAGTGAATTCAATGCGGCTTAAAAGGGGGAAACATGCGAGTCCGGGAGTTTCACTGCAATGAGGAAGTTTTTCATGCAAGGAAATAGAGGTGAGGATGGTTCAGCCTGCAAAGCTGATTCAACCCAGTCGTTCTGTGTTTCCGTGCATGAGAGCCGGGGCAAGGGGTAGACGCAGCGCCACGTGCAGGGGAAAACGATGAAGACACGTTTTGCGTGGAGCAGCAATGGGTAGTGCTGATGTGATTCGTGCGCATTGAGCCGAGCCCACGCGAAAAGAAGTCGGGGCTCACATCAGTCAGTCGACAGTAACAAAAACAATTGGCGTCAGGAGGCTAACTGAGTATGCCGCAGACTGCACTGCAGACGGGATATCATCTGACGGACTGAGTACGGGTAGCCTGCGCTAGCCATGTTGAAGTGAAGCGCAAAGGGCAAAAGTCGGCCGCTGCCCCGAGGACCAGGGCTTTTGGAATGCATCGTGGTGACCTCACCTCCTGAACTTGTGATTCTTGTTCTATTCTTGTCCTCGCAGGATGCAACTCGGGCAAGCAGAGCGCACGAAAAAGAAGTCAGTTCCACAGCCGCACGCAGAGTGGGGCGGGCATGTTTCCTGGCATCTTTGCACGCTGCCGATAGTTCCCGGGAGGTCAGAGTCCAGATCAAGATCTTCGGCATCACAGAACAGGCGCACGTCCGGGAGAAAGCCTTCGGCAGAAAGAAAGTACCCAGGAGGCAAGAGTGCATGGTCAGTCCTCGTTTAGCAGGGGTGAACATGAGACTTTGCCCAAGGAAGGCTGGGGGTGCATACTGTACTTGTGCCGCGGGCGCACGGTTCTGGATTTCAGCCTCCTGCCTGCATGGATTTTTTGGACGTTCTGCATGTTTCCAGTTTGCAACGTGCCCGGGTGGCACTCTATAAAACCCTGGCGGAGTCGAACTTTTACAGGCTCGGAGTCTGCGCCCTCGACTCAGAGACGCATCAGCCTCCGTGGAAGAGAAGGACCTCGGAACTGGTGCAACAACCTGTGTCGCCAGAACTCCTTGACGTGAACAATCCGGAAAGGGCAGTCGTGATCTGCACCCATCGCCCGTCCTCTTGGGATCATGCTGCTGACACCTTCAGTCGACGCAGCGGACCTTGAGCGTTCGTTGCTCGGCCGGACTGTGAAACCCTAAGGCAGCACCCCATGATTTTCAGTGGGAATGGTGGGCTCTTCCTAGTCGTAGCGATGTACAGTCGTATGGGTAGACAGGACTTGGTCGTTTCACGGCGCAGCCGCAGCTGCAGTCACACGTAAATGAACGTGCGCCGATCTCAGAACTGTGCTGTCGGGGCAAACGTGCGAGTCGGAGTTTCACTGCAAGTTTTTCGTGCAAGGAAATAGAGGTGAGGATGGTTCAGCCTGAAAAGTGCAACCCAGTCGTTCTGTATTTCCGTGCATGAGAGCTGGTGCAAGGGGTATAGAGGCAGCGCCATGCGCAGGGAAAATGGTCAAGACCCAGCTAGCGCTGATGTGATCGCAATTAGGGCTTGCGCTCTGAGCGGCATGGACATGCTGTCCTGCGCGACGGTGTTTTGCCACATGTTAGTTCCACTGTGATGTCACATGAAAGCCTTGTGCACATTGAGCCCGCGCGAAAAAAAGTCGGGGCTCAGATCAGTCAACGTCAGAAAGGTGGACACACAGCAAGGCAGATTACAGTATGAGAGTCGACAGTCACAAAAACAATTGGCGTCAGGAGGCTAACTGAGTATGCCGCAGACTGCACTGCAGACGGGATATCATCTGACGGACTGACTATGTGGGTAACCTGCGCTAGCCATGTTGAAGCTAAGCGCAAAGGGCAAAAGTCGGCCGCTGCCCAGAGGACCTTGGCTTTTGGAATGCATCGTGGTGACCTCGCCTCTTGAACTTGTGATTCTTGTTCTATTCTTGTCCTCGCAGGATGCAACTCGGGCAAGCAGACCACACGAAAAAGATGTCAGTTCCACAGCCGCACGCAGAGTGGGGCGGGCATGTTTCCTGGCGTTTTAGCACACTGCCGATAGTTCCCGGGAGGTCAGAGTCCAGATCAAGATCTTCGCCGTCACAGAACAGGCGCACGTCCGGGAGAAAGCCTTCGGCACAAAAAAAGTTCCCAGGAGGCAAGAGTCCATGGTCAGTCATCGTTTAGCAGGGGTGAACGAATCGGCGTGACGAGCTTAGGCCTGCCCAACGGCCTCAACCCAAGCCTTCGCGCAAGAAGCCAGCAGGGCTTTTGAAGTTGCGCCCACCCACTGCCAAATTGAAGCACGCACGTCGGCAAAGTCGCGGTGACGCTTCTGCCAGAGGCATTTTTCGCAGGTTTCGCTCCCAGTGGCAGAGGTCAGCAGTCGATGTCGCCCCAGACGGCAAGCAGGTGTGTTGGCTCGCGGAGAAAGTCAGTGGCGAGCCCTGGGGCATCGGCTGCGTGTTTTGCGCATGGCTGGCCAATCGCCCAAACCGCATGAAGTCGGTGAAGTATTGTCGCCAGGCAACTAAGTGGGCACCTTGGCCAGAAACATAGCAGCTTTTCAGTGGATGCCGATTGTCATGGTTGTGTAATCCAACTAACGGATAGTGCTTGCTTGTTGCTGTGTTTTGGGATGCTCCGGATGCCCTCACTAAAAGCTGATGCTCATGATGCTTTTGCTCCTGCTCTTGATTGATGCTGCCGTGATGCTATGGCGAGCGATCATCCCGCACGATCATCTTCCGATCGCTGTTCACACACTTTCGGAAGTGGCGCTGGAACTGCATCGTGGTTTACGGGTTGGGGTCGCTTCTTAATTACAGGGCTCTGAATGCTGCTGAGGATTTGTGTGGCTTTCTTATTATCCTTGCTGAAGCCCTCGCAAAACCGAAGCCCTAGAACCCGAATCATCCTGCTTTGCTGTTGGGCTTGCAGCAGCAACGCCTATCGGTCCGGCTTCTTGCGGTTTGGGGTCTGAACGTGCCCTTACCTACCCCCCTAAACCACAGCCCGTGCAGAAGGATGACATGTGCAAGTCGAGAAGTGTGCCACGTGCGCAAGGAGGCACGCGCAAACGTAAACGCCCTAAACATACACCGACCCCTGCATGAAACTTTCTGCCCTTCGCCCCAAAAGGCTCTCGAGCGCAAGCCTTCAAGACGTTGGGTCTAGAGTCAAAGAGCTTCTGTTTAATTCATGCAGTTGTTCACGAGTGTCTGCTGCTAACGTGAACAGGTTTTTGGAGGTTAGAGAGGCGGCTGGGGTCTTCAGGTGATGTGTATGGAAAGGTGAGGAAGGGGTAGAGTTAGGGTGTTAGTGTCATGGAGGTGCTGGGGTCTCGAAAGGGTGTCACGGGACAACGGGCCCAGAAGGTAAAGGCAGGCTCACCCTAGTGGCCATACTGACAAGTACGGGGTCCGCATTGAGGTCAGCCCGTAATGGTGTTGGCCACAGGTTCCGCCGAAGGCCAAACCCTCAAAAGCCTGAACCCCAGGCGTCAACGCTGGATCCGCAACCCTGGCCCACGAGGGTTTAAGGGTACTTTCCCCCCAGCTGCTGTACGCAGGCTGACCCTGCAGCTCCGTCGATTCCGCAATGGTCCGCTGGGGGCGACAGGCGTCAGACGCCCAGAGCATTTCGCTGCAAATCAGGGCCGGGTGTAGTCACGGTTTTGGCG